GATCTGAGGACCAGCAACATTAACATCGTCTGGGAGTAATCGGGAATGCAGAACACACCTTTACTCCATCTCCATTTTACTGAATAGAATCCTGCTTTTTTTTTTTTTTTTTTTTTTTTTTTTTAAAGACAGTGTTTTGCTTTGTTGCTTACACTGGCGTACAGGAGGGTGATCATAGGCTCCCAAGTAGATGTGATTACAGACATGTATCACCAAACCCAGCTAATTTTTTTTTTCTTTTTAGAGAAGGGGAATCACTATGTTGCCCAGTCTCGAACTTCCTGGCCTCAAGTGGATCCCCCTCTCAGACCCCCTTGGCCTTCCAAAGTGCTGAGAATGTAGGCAAGAACCACCATGCCCAGCTGAAATCTGTATTTTAATGAGATCAGTGATTTCTATGCACATTAAATTTTAAAGGCATTGCTTTAAAACATGAGTACCAACCAACTGAAAAAAGTTTGTTTTGTAAATAAAAGCTGTCCATAAACTTTGAGACTTGGTAATAACCTTGCATAGGCAGAAGAATTCAGAAGAGAGCATCTCTAAAAAGGTAGAGAGATCTTAACTCTCAAGGGACTGATTCACAGTAGATTTATTTTCTTTTACTTTTTTTTTTTTTTTTTTGAGATAGATCTTTCTCTGTTGCCTGGGCTGGAGTGCAGTAGTATGAACTCGGCTCACTGCAACCTCTGCCTCCTGGGTTCTGGCAATTCTCCTGCCTCAGCCTCCTGAGTAGCTGAGATTATAGACATGCGCATCATACCCGGCTAATTTTCGTATTTTTTTGTAGAGACCGGTTTTCACCATGTTGGCCAAGCTGGTTTCAAACTTCTTACCCCAAGTGATACGCCTATCTTGGCCTCCCAAAGTGCTGGGATTACAGGTGTGAGCCACCGCACCCAGACAAGATTTATTTTCTTTAACTTCTTTCAACATTGTTTTGTAGTTTTTAGCAGGTGTTGTACTTCTTTTGTTAAATTTGTTTCTAAATATTTTGTTTGTTTTTGATACTATTGTGTAAATAGAATTGTTTTCTTAACTCTATAGGTTTTTTTTTTCCTCTTGGAAGAGAATCAGCAACAATTGATTTTTGTAACTTGACCTTGTATCCCGTGACCTTGCTGAACTTCCTTAATTCTTATTTTTGGTGGATTCCTTAGGATTTTTTAATATAAGATCATTTCATTGGTGAACAGAGATTTTTTTTTTTTTTTTTGACTGAGTCTCACTGTGTCACCCAGACTGGAATGCAGTGGCATAATCTTGGCTCACTGCAACCTCTGCCTCCCAGGTTTAAGAGATTCTTCTGTCTCAGCCTCCCAAATAGCTGGACTACAGGCACGTGCCATCAAGCCCGGCTAATTTTTATATTTTTAGTAGCGACAATGTTTCACCATATTGGCTAGGCTGGTCTCAAACTCCTGACCTCATGATCCGCCTCCCACGGCCTCCCAAAGTGCTGGGATTACAGGCATGAGTCACTCCGCCCAGCCAACAGAGATAGTTTTACTCCTTTCCCAATCTGAATGCTTTATTATTATTATTATTATTATTTTCATTGAAATGGAGTCTCACTCTGTCACCTAGACTGGAGTGCAGTGGGCAATCTCAGTTCACTTCAATCTCTGCCTCCCAGGTTCTGTCAATTCTTCTGCCTCAGCCTCTCCAGTAGCTGGGATTACAGGCATGTGCCACCACACCCAGCTGATTTTTGTATTTTAAGTAGAGATGGGGTTTCACCATGTTGGCCAAGCTGGTCTTGATCCCCTAACCTCAGGTGATCCACCCGCCTCAGCCTTCCAAAGTTCTGGGATTACAGGTGTGAGCCACCATGCCCAGCCCAATCTGAATGCTTTTATTTCATTTTCTTGCCCAGTTGCCCTGGCTATAAACCTCTTGTACAGTATTAAATAGAAGTGATAAAAGTAGACGTCCCTGGCTGCAAGCAGTGGCTTGCACCTGTAATCCCAGCACTTTGGGAGGCTGAGGCAGGCAGATTGCTTGAGTCCCAGAGTTCAAAACCAGCCTTGGCGATGTGGCAAAACCCCATCTCTACTAAAAATATAAAAAATTAGCCATGCGTAAGAGCACACCTGTAGTCCCAGCTACTTGGGAAGCTTCGGCACTAGAATCACTTGAACCCAAGAGGCGGAGGTTTCCCTGAACCAAGATAATGCCCCTGCACTTCAGCCTGGGTAATTGGAGTGAGATCCTGTCTCAAAAAAAAAGGCTAGGAACTCACAACTGTAATCCCAGCACTGTGGGAGGATGAGGCAGGTGGTTACTTGAGCTTGAGCCCAGGAGTTCAAGACCAGCCCAGGCAACATGACAAATACTAATCTCTGCAAAAAATACAAAAAAACAAAAAGCCAGGTATGGTGGTATGCACTGAGGTCCCAGCTAGGAGAGAGAGAGATTTTTTTAAAACTTAGACTCTTTTGTATTAACACTTAGCTTAAAACACATATTGTACAGCTGTGCAAAACTTTATTATCCTTTTTCTATAATCTTTTATATTTTTAAAACAATTTTATTTTTAAACTTTTTTGTTAAAAACTAAGAAACACATACACACATTAGCCTAGGCCTACACAGACTCAGGTGATATCATCAATTAATATTAATTATTAATCAATTAATATGACTGTATTTCATCTCTATATCTTGTCCTACTAGATAGATCTTCAGGGGCAAAAACAAACATGAAGCTGCTGTCTCCTATGAGAATAATGCCTTCTTCTGGGCATTAGGATTTGCCTGAGGCTGTTTTACAATTTTTTTTTTTAAGTAGAAGTATACTCTGAAATAAGAAGAAGTGGTTGGGCATGGTGGATCATGCCTGTAATCCTAGCACTTTGGGAGGCAAAGGCAGAAAGGTCGCTATAAGTCAGAAGAGAGAAACCAGCCTGAGCAACAAAGCAAGACAGTGTCTCTACAAAAAATAGCCAGGTTTGGTAGTATGCACCTGTAGTCCCAGCTATTTGGGATGCTAAAGCAGGAAGATCACCTGAGCCCAGGAGTTCAAGGTTGCAATGAGCTATGATCATGACACTGTACTCCAGCCTGGGTAATACAGTGAGACCCTGTTGCTAAATTTTAAAAAAAGGTTTTTTAAGTAATGATAGAGTACAGTAGATACATAAACCAGTAACATAGTCATTTATTGCCAAGTATGATATACTGCACATAATTGTTATAGGTTACACTTTTTTTTTTAATTGCATTTTAGGTTTTCGGGAACGTGTGAAGAACATGCAAGATTGTTGCATAGGTACACACGTGGCAGTGTGTTTTGCTGCCTTCCTCCCCATCACCTATATCTGGCATTTATCTCCATGCTATCTCTCCCCAACTCCCCACCCCCCGCTGTCCCTCCCCTATTTCCCCCGACAGACCCCAGTGCGTGATGCTCCCCTCCCTGCGTCCATATGTTCTCACTGTTCAACACCTGCCTATGAGCGAGAACATGCGGTGTTTGATTTTCTGTTCTTGTGTCAGTTTGCTGAGAATGATGGTTTCCAGGTTCATCCATGTCCCTACAAAGGACATGAACAATTGTTTTTCATGGCTGCATAGTATTCTATGGTGTATATGTGCCACATTTTCCCTGTCCAGTCTATCATTGATGGGCATTTGGGTTGGTTCCAAGTCTTTGCTATTATAAACAGTGCTGCAATGAACATTCGTGTGCATGTGACTTTAGGTTACACTTTTATATGACTGCCAGTACAGTAGATTTGTTTATAGCTTCATCACTACAACCAGGTGAATAATGCATTGGGTTACTACGTTACCACAGCTACAATGTCACCAGGTGATGGGAATTTTTTGGCTTGATTACAATATGATGGGGACCACCACTGTGGTCATTATTGACCAAAACATCAAGTACAGTGCACTACAGCTATGGTTATTGGTGAAAAGACTGGCCGGGCACGGTGGCTCATGCCTGTAATCCCAGCACTTTGGGAGGCCAAGGTGGGCAGATCAGAAGGTCAGAAGATCGAGATCATCCTGGCTAACATGGTAAAACCCTATCTCTACTAAAAATATAAAAATTAGCCACATGTGTTGGTGCATGCCTGTAGTCTCCGCTGCTTGGGAGGCTGAGGCAGGAGAATCACTTGAACCTGGGAGGCAGAGGTTGCAAGGAGCTGAGATCGTGCTACTGCACTCCAGCCTAGGCAACAGAACGAGACTCTGTCTCAAAAAAAAATAAGGGCTGGGCGCGGTGGCTCACGCCTGTAATCCCAGCACTTTGGGAGGCCGAGGCGGGTGGATCACGAGGTCAAGAGATCAAGACCATCCTGGTCAACATGGTGAAACCCCGTCTCTACTAAAAATACAAAAAATTAGCTGGGCATGGTGGCACATGCCAGTAGTCCCAGCTACTCAGGAGGCTGAGAGAGAATTGCCTGAACCCAGGAGGTGGAGGTTGCGGTGAGCCAAGATCGCGCCATTGCACTCCAGCCTGGGTAACGAGCGAAACTCCGTCTCAAAAAAAAATAGTGTATAGTAGTCTCTTAGGCCTTCACATTCACTCTTTAACCATTCACTGGCTCACCCAGAGCAACTTCCAAACTTCCAGCCTTTCAAGCGCCATTCATGGTAAGTGTTCTACACAGGTATACCATCTTTTATCTTTTTTTTTTTTTGAGACGGAGTTTCGCTCTTGTTACCCAAGCTGGAGTGCAATGGCGCGATCTCGGCTCACCGCAACTTCCGCCTCCTGGATTCAGGCAATTCTCCTGCCTCAGCCTCCTGAGTAGCTAGATTACAGGCATGCGCCACCATGCCCAGCTAATTTTTTGTATTTTTAGTAGAGACGGGGTTTCACCATGTTGACCAAGATGGTCTGCATCTCTTGACCTCGTGATCCACCCGCCTCGGCCTCCCAAAGTGCTGGGATTACAGGCTGGAGCCACCACGCCCGACCTACCATCTTTTCTCTTTTATACCATACATTTGCTGTACCTTTCCTTTTTTTTTTTTTTGGAAGTGATTTTACCTTTATTTCCTTCACTTTAAGCCAATTATGAAATTTCACAGTGATTTCTGGGGTGGGGGCAGAAGGAAGGCGGTGTCAAGAATCACGGGCTGTGGCCCAGTCGGCCTGTGGAGGTGCAGGTAGGGTGGGCCCTCACTGGGGCAGCTGGAGGAGCACGGACTGCCCCGCCAGCAGGTAGGTGATGTTCCGAGAGCGTGACAGTTGGTACACAATGTCCTCCGCAGCTTCCAGCTTGCGCAGCTCAATCAGGCCGTCCCCTGCGGTGGCCAGTGAGTTGGCAATCAGCTCAGCTGCCTTGGAGTCGCCCTCAGCAGAGATGATAGCCGCCTATTTCTGCTGCTCAGCCTTTTCCACCACAAATCTGGCTCTCTCTGCTTCCTGCTGAGCCACCTGTTTGGCTTCCACTGCTTCTGTGAACTCCTTCCCGAAGGTCAGATGTGTCAAGGACACATCGTCCAGGATAAGCCCAAAGGTGGCTGCTCGCTCCGTAAGGTCATCGCTCACCTGCCTGGAGACCAGCTCTCTCTAGGTGATTAGTTCTCCAGCATCAAAGCAAGCCACCACTGACTTGAGGATGTCGGTGGTGATGGACGGCAGCACGCGCTCATCATAGTCCTCTCCGATACTAGTGAAGATGCGAGGCAGCTGGCTAGCAACGGGCCGGAAGAGGATGCACAGAGTGATGTTGACATTCTGTAAATCTTTGCTACCAGTGATGACTGGCACATTACGTGGCCGAGAATGGCAGTCAAAGATAATTGGTTTCTGTACCCATGGGATGAGAAAGTGAGTCCCTTCCCCTACCACAATGTCTTGTACTCCACGGAATCAGTCAAAGATGACAGCTCTGTGCCCAGCATCCACATTATATAAGGCCGAGTTCACCACGCCTCCTGCAACAGCTAAGGCCAGGCCAAACTTGCCAATGGACTCAAACACTTTGGCAGCCATGTTTTCTTCTGCTGGACCCTCTCACACCTGCTTCCACTCTTACCTCCACATGAATTCCCCCTGCTGTACCTTTCCTATGTTTAGAACACAAATACTTACCATTTTATTATAATTACCTACAGTATTCAGTGCAGTAACATGCTGTACAGGTTTGTAGGCTAGGAGCAGTATGCTATATGCCATATAGCCTAGGTGTGTAAATAGGCTATACCATATCGGCTTGTTATTCACAAAACTACAAAATGGCCTAAGGACACATTTATCCCTGTGCGTGGATCCCCGTCATTGAGTAACACATGAGTGTATGTTAACTGGGTTTTTCAGAGATGGCCTTTATCAGGTTGAGAATGTTCCTTCTATTCCTAATTTGTTGAGGGCTTTTGTCATGAAAAAGTGTTGGGATTTGTCAAATGTTATTTCTGTGTCTATTGATAATCATGTGACTATTGTTCTGTATTCTATTATGGCATATTACATTAGTTGATTTTCTTATTAGACCGGCCTGGGGTTCCTGGGATAAATTCCACTTGGTCATATTTGCTAATACTTTGTTGGGAACTTTTGTGTCTGTTCTCATAATGGATATTGGTCTGTAGTTTTTTTGTGATATCTTTCGTTTTGGTACTGGAATCATACTGGCTCATAGGATAAGTTGGGAAGTGATCCCTCCTTTATATTTTTGGAAGAGTTTGTGAAGGATTGGTGTTTTAAATGTTTGGGAGCAGTGAAGCCATTTGGTCTGGGGCTTTTCTTCATGGGAAATTTTTTGATTACTAATTCAGTCTCATTACTTATGGGTCTATTTATATTTTCTATTTCTTTTTTAATTAGCTTTGATAGTTAATATCTTATGAATTTGTTCATTTCATGTGTGTTATCTCATTTGTTGGCATACAGTTATTTATAGTATTTTTTAATCCTTTTCATTTCTCTAAGATTGGTAATAATGTCCCTTCCTTAATTCTTGATTTTAGTCATTCAAATCTTTTCATTTTTTTTTCTGGTCAGTCTAGCTAATGATTTGTCACGGTTTTTTCTTTTATTCTTCGGTTTACTCTCTGTTTCGTTTTTATCCATTTAATCTTTATGTCCTTCCTTCCTTCTGCTTGGTTTGGGTTTAGTTTACTTTTCTCCTTCTTGTTCCTTAAGGTGGAAGATTAATTTGATGACCTCAGATCTGTCTTTTTTTGAGACAGGGTCTTACTCTGTCACATGCTGGGGTGCAGTGTTACAATCTCAGCTCACTGCAGCCTTGACCTCCTGGGCTCAAATGATGCTCCCACCTCAGCCTCCCAAGTAGCAGAGACTGCAGGTGCTTATCACCATACCCACCTAGTTTTTGTATTTTGTTTATAGAGATAGGATTTTGCCATGTTGTCCAAGCTGGTCTCATACTCCTGAGCTCAAGTTTTTTTTGAGACAGAGTCTCGCTCTGTCACCAGGCTAGAGTGCAGTGGCGCAATCTCAGCTCACTGCAGCAATCTCAGCTCACTGCAGCCTCTACCTCCCGGTTTTAAGAGATTCTCCTGCCTCAGCCTCCCAAGTAGCTAGTACTACAGGCGTGCCCCACCACACCCAGCTAATTTTTGTGTTTTTAGTAGAGATCGGCTTTTACCTTGTTGGCCAGGATGGTCTTGATCTCTTGACCTTGTGATCTGCCCCGATCAGCCTCCCAAAGTGCTTGGATTATAGGCATGAGCCACCGCACCTGGCCCCCTTCTTTATTCTTTTTCAGTCTTGCCATGTTGCTCAGGCTAGAGTGCAGTTGCTGTTAACCGATGCAATCATAGTACGCTGCAGCCTTAAACTCATGGGTTCAAGTGATCTTCCTGCCTCAGCATCCTGATTAGCTGGGACTGCAGGTGCATGCCACTGCACCCAGCTCCTCTTTCTGTTTTTTTTAGAGACAGGGTTTCACCATGTTGGTCAGGCAGGTCTCAAACTCCTGACCTCAGGTGAGCCACCATGCCTGGCTTGTTTTTGTTATTTTTAAATAGATTTTACTTTTTAGAGTGTTTTTAGATTCAGAGTAAAATTGAGCAGAAAGTATAGTTTCCATATGTCAGCCTCCACCTCTGACCACACACAGAATGCTCACTACTTTCCCCACTGTCAACATCTTGCACCAGAGTTATACATTTACAATCAGTGAACTTATGTTGACACATCATTACCACCCAAGGTGTCCATAGTTTACATTAGGGTTTACTCTTGATGGTATACATTCTGGGTTTTGACAACTGTATAATGACATATATCCACCATTATAGTACTATACAGAATAGTTTCACTGCCCTAAATATCCTCTATGCTCTGTCTTCATCCTTCCCTTCCTGAGTCCCTGGCCACCATACATCTCTTACTCCATAGTTTTTCCTTTTCCACAGTGTCATATAGTTGGACTCATACAGTATGTAGTGTTTTCAGATTGTCTTGCACTTAGTAAGTGCATTTAAATTTCCTCTATGTCTCTTTGTAGCTTGATAGATTATTTTAGTACTAAATACTGTTCCATTGTCTGGATGTCCCCCAGTTTATTCATTCACCTACTGAAAGACATCTTGGTTGCTTCCAAGTTTTGGCTGTTATGAATAAAGCTGTATACATCCTTGTGCAGGATTTTGTGTGGATGTAAATTTTTAATTCATTGGGGTAAATACCAAGGAGCATGATTGCTGGATTATATGATACAAGTATGTTTACTTTTCTAAGAAGCCTTGAAACTGTCTTCCAAAGTGGCTGTACCATGTACCATTTTGCATTTTCACCAGCAATGGATGAGAGTTCCTGTTGCTCCATATCCTTGCCAGTGTTTTTTTTTTTTTGGGAGGGTGCATTCTGATAAATGTATAGTGGTATATCATTTTAATTTGCAGTTTTCTAGTGATATGTGAAACATCTTTTCTTTTTTTTTTTTTTAGAGACGGGGTTTCACCATGTTGGTCAGGCTGGTCTTGAACTCCTGACCTCAGGTGATCCGCCCCCCTTGGCCTCCAAAGTGCTTGGATTACAGGCGTGAGCCACCACGCCCAGCCTGTGAAACATCTTTTCATATGTTTATATGCCATCTATGTATCATCTTTGATGAGATGTACAAGTCTTTTGTTCATTTTTAAAATCAGAGGGATGGTTTTTTTATTGTTTACCTTTAAGAGTTCTTTGGATATTTTGGATAACAATACTTTGTCAGATGTCCTGGGCTTTCTCCTTACTTTTCTTCTCATTTTCTTAATCTTTCTTCTTTTCTAATGTAGACATTTACAACTATAAGTTTTCCTTTAAGCACTGTTTTAGCTGTATATCATAATTTTCATTGGGTTTTCATTTGTCTCAAAATATTTTTTAATTTTTCTTATGGTTTCTTTGACTCACTGATTATTTAGGCTGTGGTTTTTAATTTTCACATATTTGTGAATTTCCCAGATGTCTTTCTGTTGATTTTATTTTTATTTCATTGTGATCAGAGCACATACTTTGTCTGATTTCTTAAATATATTAAGACTTTTTTAATGGCCTAACATGTGTTTAGCCTGGAGAATGTTCCATGTGCGCTTGAGGAAAACATGTATTCTGCTGTTGAACTTTAACCAGACATGGTAGCACATGCCTGTGGTCTCAGCTAGCTCAGGAGGCTGAAGCAGGAGGATTGCCTGAGCCCAAGAGTTTGAGACTGCAGTGAGCTGTGATTGTACCACTGCACTCTAGCCTGGGCAACAGAGTGAATCCCTGTGTCTTAGAGAGGGGCGGGGGGCGGGGCATAGAAGTCTCCAATTATTGTTAAATTGTCTGTTACTCCAGTTCCATACATCTTTGCTTAATTTATTTTGGGGCTCTGTTAACTGTGCATATTTGTAATTGTTATGTCTTTCTGTTGGATTGTCTCTTTACCATTATAAAATATCCTTTTTTGTTTCTAATAGCAAATTTTGTCATAACATTCTCTTGACTGATATTCCTGTAGCCACTTCAGCTCTCTTAAATGTCATTAAGAGTAAATTCTAAGTTTTCAAGTTACATTTTTGTCACAGTTTTGCTTTTTTACTTTTATTTTTTTACTTATTTGAGATGGAGTCTTGCTATGTCGCCCAGGCTGGAGTGCAGCTGAACAATCTCGGCTTACTGCAACCCACACCTCCCAGGTTCAAGCAATTCTCCTGCCTCAGCTTCCCAAATAACTGGGATTACGGTGTGCACCATCATACCTGGCTAATTTTTTGTATTTTTAGTAGAGATGAGGTTTTACCATGTTGGCCAGGCTGGTCTTAAACTCCTGATATCCAGTGATCCACCCACCTTGGGCTTCCGAAGTGCTGGGATTACAAGCATGAGCCACTGTTCCTGGCTGCTCTTATTTTATTGTTGCTGTCATAACTAGACAGTAATTGAAACTTCTTGTATAGAAGTTTACCAGTAACCATCTTCAAAAAGTAGTTGTCAAATGTTAAGTGGAGTGTAAAAGCTTAGAAAGGAAAGATGTTCACTAGGGATGAATGGAACTGGTTCCTGGGAGAAACCTTCCTAGAGAATCTAGGATATAAAATTAATAGTTGTAATTATTTTATTTTACAATATTTTATTAAGATCAATGGTAATATCAATAGCTATCATTTGCTAATAGGCCCCTATTATTTGCCTATTCTTCCATTCTCTCTTTTATTCTAGGCACTATGTTGATCACTTTGCCTATATTATTTAAACCTCTCAAAAGCTCTGCATAATAGATATTGTCCTCATAGATAAGAAGTAGACTCAGCAGATTTATGTAATGAAAGCCCATGGGCTTCCAGCAAATAAAGCAAGGAGCCAGAATTTTACATTGCCAAATTTCTTATTACTGTCACTCAATGAGTCAGCTACCAAGCCACATATGGATAAGTAGTTTCAAGTACCATAAGAACTAATAGGGATAATGTGAATTTGAATTAATTTGAGATACTGTTAATAAATTACACACATGATATATAAGTAACAAAAATTTTATGAGTTGGTACCAACAGAATTAAAAGAGAAGTGTATAGCCAAGAAGCAAAATGATAGCTAGGTGCTTGCACTAAC